TTTCATTGATTGCTTAATAAGTTAAACTAACATAATATTACTTATGAATTTGCAGCTTGAATGTATGCGCTTTATAACCGACTACTTTTCGGACATCAGCCAGCAGCTGGCGGCCGTCACCACATCGAATCGTGCACACGACTGTTTATTTAGTCCACAGCATATGAATAACACGATGTGTCAGCAGTATTTTCTCTACATCGGACGCATGTGCCGAACCGTAAAAGGCATCGAAGTACTCAAAAACACCACCGTATTTGAATAGTGAGTGCTGAATGATATGTAATATGACTCAAATCTTGTAAGGTTAATGTACCTATAGATGTTAGACCAAAATGAATCCACTAACCAAACGGGTTAAACTCGATTAATATTAACTCAAACTTGTAAAACCTATGCTAATCGAGATTCCTTTAATTTCAGCTTGATCAATTTGGTGCGGGTGACGGACCACGTCTGCTATGTTAAGCTGATTGTCTCCGGCCTGAACTACAGCTACGAGAAGCTACCACGTCAGGTGCTGGAAAAGGCACTTACGTCGGCGAAGACACGCGGACGTCTGTACGCCACCCAGTTCATGGCAGTGCTGTTGCGTGCCCGTCTGCCTCACTTCGAGGTATGGGGCATTCCATTGATAATCAACCAGACGCGGGATACGGATCGCAGCGTGGGGCTGGCGGCAATGGATGTACTGGAGGAGGCCTGCCACGACAAGTACTACTTGGAGGAGATAGTCAGTCGGTGGCCAAATCTAACGCATCGTGGTGATGCAGGACGTCTGCTGATGGCCCGCTATTACTCACTGCCCCGTGGCCTGAACAGTACGATGGCGCGGATCGAGGAGGAGATCCGCTACTGGCGGAATGGGTATAACAAGCGCTACGTGCTTCTTGTGGAAGCTGACACCCACTCTAGCCTGACGCTGCACATTCGCAACGAAGATGGCTACTACTCGCGTCGCAATTGCAACCAGAGACCACAGACTGTACCTCCAAATATTGCCCCCCATCTGTACGGCCAGATGGCTCAAACTGGCCAGGGTATGACGGCACTACGGAAGTACGGAGACCTGCCTCAGCTGTTGGAACTGCTCACACGCGCCAAATGCACGGACGATGCCGAGTGCCTGGAACTGAAAGCGGCCATTTGGGCACTGGCCCACGCCTCAACCCACGCCAATGGAATTGAATACTTTGTCGAACTGAATGCCAGGTGAGTGAACAATACATTCCATACCGTACACTAGTACAAAAGATGCAAGCTTTTACGAAATTCCTTATTTTTTAGACTGTACGAGAAGCTGATTGTTCTGGTGACCAAGTGCGAGGTATATTCGGTGCGGGCCACCTGTTTTAGTGCCTTAGGACTTATCGCAGGCACACAGGCTGGTGCCAATATTCTTTTTAAGTTGAGTAAGTATATGCATATTACAAGTAAAAATGTTTACATGTTTTGATTGTGTGCTAATTGAAAAATCAATGTTTCGCAGACTGGCTGAGCGTGCGACATGACAAAAACACAATGTGGCCCGTGCATCAGCCGGAGGATTGGATGTCCAACCAGTATACACCTGTGCGACATTACTACGAGGACGTGCCGGCGGACAATGTGACTATAATGGATGAGTATATAGAAAGATTCTACGAAACAGGCTCAGACTTTTGGCACATACCCCCCGACCAGACTGATGCAAGTGGTGCGGGGGGTGTAGCCATTGCCGGCACAGCCGTCGGAATACATCCCATAGTGCAGGATCCAAATACAACGATTACGGCCACGGATAGTGCTCGCACCACGACCGATGATGTTCATCCAAGAATGTTGGCTGGAGTGGCTGCCAAATCAAAGACGTTGCCGGAGGGCAGCAATCTGCGGCAGGGCAAGCACCAGCGCTCGCTCTCCGAATCGAAGACCACGGATGTGATCAGCTTGCTTGGCGGTGGAGTAGCGACGATGTCGGGAGCGGTTCTCTACCCAACTCCGTATCAGCATCGAATACGGTACAACTCCTGCACGGATTCAAACACTTCCGGCGTTAGCAGCTGCGAATCGGTGACCGGACGCACTGCAGCTGCATATGCCGCCGCAGCTATTGAGTTCCAGCAATTCCCATTGAGTCCTATTCCAAGCATGTCCAATCTGCTCGAGAGCGATGAGCTGATCCGTCGACATTACCTGGCCACCAGTATACTGTCTTCCACCCTCAGTCCAATGGCGATGAAGGGCTATGCCCAGCTACGCTCCCTGCGCAAGCACAGCCGACCCGTATTCTCGGAATCATCGGCGGAGTTCTACGATTATGCGGACATATTGGATACACCGGATGTTCAGATGCGCAAGCTCGACTGGACTCATTCCCATCGTCGGCTCAAAGTGCGCAGCTTGGACCGCCAGCTGAGTGATGTTTACAGGTGAGTCCTCCACGACGGTGGTCACGTTAATAGGTACTAATAGTGTAACTTGGTAATCTGCTCACAGACGCCTTTCCGCGGACGAGTTGAATGTGTTGCTGCCTACTCTTAACGCTCCCAAGTTCCTGCCTCGAAATGATTTGAAAGGGCCTTGCTATGCGGGTATTTGCTTGCCCAAGAACGTTCTGGACCTGTTTCCGACGCGTAACCTCAGTCGAACGTACGTGTCGCGTGATATCCAGGACCAAGATCTAGTGGGCATAAATCTGCTGAGCAGCATAGGTCGGCCACAGTTCCTCAATGACTCGCTTACCAACGAGGGCGGCGATGAGTCATCGGTTATATCATCGCTGTCGGACGTCTCGTCTGCAAGTCGGCGACAACCACGACAATTACAGCAGGGCGCCAAGCACTCGCGGAGCCTGTGTCTCCATTGTGCCCGCTCCCCGCGACAGCAGCGTAATGACAGCGGCAGCCAGAGTAATGGGGGAGGAGGCGCATCCCTTGCTCCCTGCGAACTGTACAGCAGTGCAGCAGCAGCTCTGCTGGCTGCCGGCATCCAGGCTGGACCAGTTTTCGCCAAAAAGAGCGGCCCTACTGCCCAAGGAGCTTCGACAGCACTTGGCGCCGACATCAGCTTCCATTCGCCAGAGAGCATGCTGAGCGAGGATAGCCTGCCGGACAGGCTTACGGCCTCCATCTTGTACAACGTGCAGCGTCTCGCTAATCCCGTTAGTGCCAAGCAGTCAAAAATGGCTCTGTTGGAGCTTAAGCAAAAGCACCCGCACGCCTTCCAGGTGAGATCCATTCAGAAATCCCATATACTGTAAGAAATCTGAACTAAGCACGTTTTTAACTCTAGGATATATGCCTTTATTCGGAGTCCTGCAAAACACTGGGCAGGAATAGCTATAGGATGATAGCCCGCCGCTTCCTGCAGGAACTCTTTCTGGACCTTAATTTTGACTCGTTCTACGTAGAGCCTCAGCTCATAATTGGCACACGAAAGTTTTCCGCTGAGGAGAAAGCAGAGGCCACGCCACCCACGGCAATCCAGGCCATGCCGTTCAAGCAAACGATTCTCAAGCCTAAGCCGGCGGCCCAACTGGCTAGCGTTTATGAGACTAGTTGGGAGAACCTGCTGATGGATCAGTCGCCACGAATAAACAAGTCTTCGCCTGCCGCTCAACCGGGCAGTGCTCAAACGAAAGCAAAGATCCGGAACCAGCTGCACATTGACGATACGGAGAGTTCGTTGTCTAGTACCGACGGCGAAGATGACCCCGGCGAGGATGTTTGCGACGGCAGTGGAGCAGGCACCCAGGCCAGCTCGGTGACCACCGCCCATACAGCCCTGCCCACAGGCAACAGCAATCGCAGCAGCATCTGCACATGCACAGCCAGCCAGCCGGTACCAGGTTCCGGTTCAGGTGCGGCAACATCCAACTCCTCTGGTGCTGCGACAAGTGCATCCGATAATGCCAGTACAATTCTAAAGAACGAAAACCGGCAATTCACACGCGGGCGGTTCTATACGCTGGAGCTCGACTTGAGCTGCACCAAGAACAAGTTTCCCATCAAGGATCGCAGCCAGAGAACACCAACGCCGCCACCAATCGAAAGCTCAATTCAGCCCAAGCGTACGATACAGAGTGATGTGAATGCATATGCGCTGGCATGTGAGCAGCGAACTGGTGGTGTGTACGGCAATGAGTCCTCGTCGTCGGCCCTAAGATATTCCACGGTGACCAAGAGCTTGGCGGCATCGATGGCCAAGCCAGTGGGCAGCCTGTACTGCGAGAAGCGCTTACAGAGCTCCAAGTCAGAAGCGGTACTCGATGAGGTGGCGAAGGCGAGAAGAGCATCTCGCATCTGTGGTGTGGGGGTGACAACCGTGCGGCAACTCGTAGACGCACTCGGGGAAGATCAATTGAAGTAGTCCAACGGTGACGCACTGCCTACACATACATCTCGTTTACTGCCCGCCCGCCTACCTAAACCGAAATCAAACGGATGATTGTAAAATATCAAATCAAAGAACGTGTAGCTACCTAGGTTTAGGCAAACCTTACTATAGGATTTAAGTTATTTTCGCATAGTTTGTTACGAGTAAAGTTATTACCATAGTTACTTATACGATCACCACTTAATCATAGTTATTTTTAATGAAATTCATAACCGTAAGCATGAAACCAACAAACGACAAAAATCCCAAAAAATAATATATAATTTTCTAATGTAGCATCTACCAACATATTTTATAGAAGCAGATCGAAAGCAAATTGGATAATTACCTTGAAGCAACAAGAAACAACCACAAACCACCGCAATTTATTTAATTAATGTACTTAAAACAAAAAAAGCCACCCAGTGGCAGGCGAAAACAATAAGACCACACAATCCCTTAACCAAGAAATTATCACTATTGTTGAGAACACAGCAAGAAGCATACCGTGATTCGTTCACAACCAATTTAAAACCAAAATGAAATCAATAAACTACAAAAAATGAAACCCCCAGCTCGATTTACTAAATGTTGAGCTATAAAATCTGAAGGAAAGAGAAGCGTATTGCTTTCGGTTGGCTAGATTTAAGGTCGATTTATTTGGGTTGTGTTTTAATTGAAATTGGCTAAGCAATCGTATTGGTTGAGTCATGCAATTGAAATTCTTGGAACTATTCATACAATATTGTATATGTTTAGGAGACTGTAGGAATTTCGTAGTAAGCTCTATTATTTCACTATTTTTGTATATAAATGCACATAATGATCTTAAGTATGTAGGTCTGGTAGGGTAGTACCAGTGGGCGGGCGAACCATGTCCATCTCGGATCGAACGTGGCTCCTCCGCGTCCAACTGCTTGATTTTCGAGTATAGTGGGAAATGTGAGTTGAGTTTCATTTGAATTGGAGTGAGGAACCGTATTGTTTGAGTGCGGACTTTTCAGGGGCGCACTTTGTTGAAATTGTCTCCTGGTAAAGCTACAATTAATTGAGCACTAATTTTATGTGTGTATATACTATATATATAAGTACAATTATATGTATCAAAAATGCAATCAACAATATCAGTCCGTTGCCTGGCCAGCAACAACAATATCTCATTTTCTCATACTCCATTCATTTCACGCCCGCTGAAACGGAAATTGATAGCAGATATTAGGGATTAGGGATGGTCAAGCGTACTCCAATGTGATATGATATGTAATTGAGTAGTTCAGTGAAAGTGCCCAGCTGCTTTAGGGGATCCTGATCCCAGTCTCTGGCCAAGCCATTGTGGTACTAGCCTTGCATGTATCCCAGTGCCGTCTACTCACCCAGCCGTGGATCCTATGGCCAGGCGAAGTTGATGCCCGTCAGCTGGTAGAACTTGTTGTTGAAGGGCCGGTAGAACTCGCGGAGTCGCTCGATGGCCCCGGGATCTATGTGCGGGTGGTTGCGACCCTTGGTCTTGCCCAGGCAGTGGGGCGTGGAGCGGGCCTCCGACTTGAAGAGGCAGGGGAAGCCCTTGGTGGCATTGAAGTAGAAGTGCTTCTCGGTGACCACACGCTTCAGACCGAGGAAGTCCTGCACGCGTCCAATCTCGTAGGCGGGATCCATGATCAGCCGCTCGCCGCTGATGAAGAGCAGCTGCGAGAGCGGAAAGTAGAGCAGCCAGCGCTCCAGGTAGCGGGCATAGACGCCGATCTTCACCGGCCCCCAGTTGGTGTCCACCACCGAGTAGCTCCCGTTGACGAAGGCCAGCTGCTCGAAACGCTTCATGTCCACCTTCTTGCTCGCCGCCTGCGTGTAGTCGGAGATGGCCCGCGTCACCGGATCCCGCACCACAATCAGCAACCTACAGGCACAGAAAATAAGCATTAAATGGGATATGGTAATGATATGTGGCCCAGCTAAATATGTGGTTAGTGCGTTCTACGATGATCAAATCGTGTTATTCTCTGGAAACCATTTCATTTAATGTGCCATGGTTTCAAGTTTTATGGGATATATCTTCAAATATCTTTGAAGTCTCAGACAAATCTAATGAAATATCCATTTACGATTATGATCAACATAGTTTTGCCTTGGAATAGCTCACTTTGTCGCCGTATTCATGTGGTAGACGCGCTGCGGCACCTCCTTGGTGACGAAGTAGCTGGGCGACTTCTCCATGGTGATCTGGCCCTCGATGGTGTACGGCATGTGGTGGCGGTACCAGCGTAGTCCCCGTTGGTAGTGCCTGTCGAAGAAGTGCACCTCCGAACCGGCGGCCCGGACGTCCGGATGCAGGCGTATGAACTCGAGCAGCGCCCGCGTCCCGCTCTTCTTCACGCCAATGATGAGCGTGTCGGGCAGGTGGCGCGATGGTCGGAGGCCCTGTTGCCGGAGCAGCTGATACTTGGGCGCCCCATCCAGGCTGCTGGTCACCGTCTGCGCCGGTGGTGCACCGGTGGTGGTGGAGCTGTTCCTGCTGCTGCTGCTGCTGTTGCTGCTGTTGGCGGCGTTATTGCTCTCGTTGCGGGGCGAGGAGGTCAGCGCCAGTAGGTTGCGTAAGTTGCTCTGCGCGGGAGAGGTCAGAGGTCAACGAAACATATCAATATTGACTTATAAGAATGCACACATTTCACATTTCACAAGTAAGTATGACGAAAAGTAGGCAACATTACATAAAACATCACAAAGTTTACTTTTCACAGCACACTCTTGGACAGCTTGTTAAATGCTTCAGAAATTCTCCTATTTTTGAATAGGCTTCACTTTGTATATATATATCTGTAGCCAAACCTTACATTCGATTAGCCAGTATATGTATAAGAACTAAGAACCCATCAGCTTGTTTTCATGCAAAAATGCAAATGTTGGGTGCACCAAGCCCCCAATTGTGGCACATTTTCCACCGACTCGTGGACATATTCACCTGCTGCAGGCTGCGACTGATGCTGGCCAGGAGGCAGGCGTTGAAGCTGTAGGAGAAGTAGACCAGAGTCACGCAGATCACCAGGGCGATGGCCAGGCTGCGGCTGCTCAGGCTGAGGCTGCTGCACCAGATGCTCATCACAATCATGGCTGACTAGGCGCTGGTGGCTGCCGTGTCTTGCATCTGGCTGAATAATCGGTGGCAAGCGCTCCGTCGAATCCCATTGCCAGTCAGTTGCCCCGGAGCACTGACTGCAGCATCCGGATTCCGATTCTGATTCTGATTTGCAATCGCAGCAGCGGCTGCCGGCTACCGCCAACGCGAAGTGAAGGAATGGGGCTGTTCGATGATGCTGCTGCTGCTGGTGCTGGTGTTGGTAGGTGGTTCGGGATGTTTGGTGTGGTTGGGGTGGTCCTGCCGCTGCGAGTTCGGGCTGCAATTGCCGGAGCTGTCGTCGCAGCCGAGTTCCGGAAGTGAAAGGCAGGGATAAGGCAGTACCAAGACATTGGGGTGCCCGGCCAGCGGATAAGCGCTGCCTGGGCCGCCGGTTCGGCTCCGTTCGGGCAGGAGGGCAGGATGGCAGGATGGCGGGAGCGCAGGAGGGCAGGATGGGGCGGCCGTGTCATGGTTACGCCTGGGAAGCGCACAGGCGCATTAGCCACATCTTCTCTCGTCTTATGCAATTGAGCGTTTTGTTCGCTCTCGCCAGCTCTCGGAATCGCCTTTGTTGTGACGTCGCACATGCTCGAAGTACACTGCTCGAAAGAGTTACGACGTCTTTTGCGAGATTCCTTTAAAAATCAAATGTGAATATACAAGTTTTTCATATAAGCTGGTAGCTAATTTCCAAGTCTTATGAAGTAATGTTAAGATTGGGCAAAACTTAATGCTACACCTTAAGCATAGACCCATGATTATTATGATTCGCATTATTGATTTATACAAAATGTTAATTGTAATGTAAGGTATTTTCGCTACTGGAATTGCAAATGTTGTAATATTTGTTATATTTATAACATAATTTATAATGTCGGCTGCGAGTGCCATCTTAAAATGAAATCTTCCACACTCTCTTCGCACGAACCTTTAATTCCTTACCGCCTTTACGCAACGCTCTCTTTTTCGCTCACGGCTGCAATCAATTTTCCGCTCAAAGGTAAACAAACTAACTAAGAATCTACCCGACCCATTTAACCACCCACCTCCTCCCAACCCCACTTGTGCCTGATAAAGTAACTGCTGGCATTTAATACTGAATTGAAATCAATTTCCCAAGCTTTATCGCCGGACGTTCTATTGACCGTCCTCCCTATCACCATTAGCCATTTCAGATTAGTTTTAAGCCCTGTCGATGAAATGGCCCAATGGCCTTTCCCATATCGACGCTTCCTTATGCATGTGAAAGGCCGAAAATTGTACATTTCCTTGGCAGCGTGGTAAACTGCCAAGGCGCTTATCAAGCGACGGACATCTGTTTATCTGTCCAAGTGGCTTGCTCCAATGCGGCATTAGTCACTCACTTTGGGATACACTTGTGAAAAAAGGCCTAAGAATTCGATCATATTACATTGGGGTAAAAATAGTGCGCTTTACTTAAAATAGGTAACATTTTGAATGTTATTTAAATATTTCAATGAGTTGTTTTCATCATTTATAAGTTAAAAAATTATTAGTTTAAAAAAATTATGGTTTTGGATAAAAATCGGATACATTTAAGTGGAAAAACCTTGTTTATATATCCATTCTCTGTACAAGATGCGCACCCTCTTAGATTTTCTTTTTGTCTATCCTTATTCATACCTACATATATTATTTCCCTTGTAGATAATCCCGAGCCCTCAACTTTTCCGCCCGTGTACCATCCATGGCCACACACATACACCTGGTCGGGTTGGGTTATCTTATCGCCTTATCTGCGCCGCCTTCACCGCAGTCGAATTCTTCGCCGGACTTCCACCAGCCCATTTGGCATTTGTCCGGCGTTCCATCGTGGGCATCTCCGCTCCAGCTACTCGCTAAAATGCTCTAAGCTCCTTCGTTAGGTGAACCTGCCTGCTGCTGGACTAACTTACGCAAATCTACCGCAAATATGACGAACGTGTGGGCCAAAATTGTGCTGAAGTTCTTCAAGTATGCGCCCAGCTATGTGGGTGAGTCACCCAAACAGAGGAGATCTTTGTCCAGATACCAAATCTCATTCACTTCCAGTCTGCCTGTGCTTCCTGCCGTGCGGCATGATCTTCGGCTATACGATCTGCGCCTTTGTTGCGGAACGGAACCTCAACGCTGGACTCATTTACTATGGACCCCTGATCCTGGGCGCCTGCTGGGCGGTGGTCACTGCCCTGGCCATGCTGGCGGTCAAGCTTGTGAAGAAGTGCATCGTCTACTGGCAGCCATGGCTGCTCCTGGCCGCCGGAATCTTTAATCTCATAGGCAGCTGCTTCTACTTTGCCGATGGATTTGGTGAGTCATTTCGAAAAGCTTAGGAACCCTAAATCAAACAAGACGAATACAACACAAAATATGCTTAAAGATTTTCAAAAATGCTCTCTCTGAAGTGAATAATTTGTGTACTAAACTCAAAGAAATTATTGAATGAGTTCCGGTAATCAAATGGGTTTTGAATGCACTTACAATCTCAAGCAAGAAGCCCTCCCTTTCGATATGATGCCTTTAAAAAATAAGTTTTTGAATCCAGCGAGTTCTTCAACATCCCTCTATCTAATTTACAGACCACGTTGGAGCCTACATATCGTACGTGGCGCACAGCATGACCTTCGTGGCCGGCTATAGCTTCCTGCACACCATCAGCTCCAAGGGCGGCAGGTCGCTGTTCCTCTCGGGCAGCTGCAGCTGCTACCTCCTGGGCGTGGCGTCCGCCGTCAGCCTGATCGTGTCCTCGTACAGTCGGAATGTGAAGGAGCTGGCCGGACAGACGACGACCACGGAGCAACTGATCGATGGCATCTACGTGAACTTCGCCGGCACCTACTTGAGTGTGGCGGCCGTCGTGCTGGCCATCCTGGTGGGCCAGAAGGTTCTCCACTTTCTGGGCACCGTCGACCTGGTGAACAGCATGGACAACGACCTGCGGATCGCCAACTCCAATGGCAGTATCTTCGAGAAGCGATCGGAGGTCATAAAGCGGCTGCAGTTCTTCTACGTGACCAAGAACCAGCAGTGGAACATGATGCTGCTGCTCCTCTTCACAGAGGCCGTGCAGTTCGCCCTGTTCGTGTACTTTGTCTACTGGTTCGCCCTGAATCCGGCCATCCGGCTGACGGAGTTCTCCGGCATCGACGGCATGTTCTGGGTGATCTTTGCGGGCAGCCTGCTGGCCCTCATCTGCCAGTGGTTCCTGTCGGTGAAGATCACCTTTGTGGGCTCGCAGGTGGCCCTCATTTTCTTCACCCTGCTCGCCATGATCCTCTGCAGCGTGACGGAGTCCAGGTGGTCGCTCTGGCTGCTCCTTGTGCTCTTCGGCCTGTCGTACTCGCAGCAGCAGATCCTCCTGCTGGAGGTCACCCACTTGCTCTTCACTGAATGCATCATATGCGTCTCCTACGTGCTCAAGTTGGTCTGCACCAGCATCGTGTACTTCTACTTCGTGGCGGATGCGAAGAACTCCTACTTCTACGCCACCGATTCGAGCACCCTGATGGCCCAGGGATTCGTCTTCCTCATCATCACCTCGCTGCTGGCCCTCGTGGTGGGCATGAAGGTGCCCCGGACGCATCGCGCCCAGCTGCTTGAGATTCAGTACGAGGTGTACGGCATCATCTTCATGAAGCACCAGATCGAGCAGCTCAACGTCCGTTGGCTGAACGACGGCACCATTCCCACCATCAACCAGTGACCCCGAATTTGATTATAGGTCGCTCGGCTATCGAGTCCCCTCGATCTTTTCACACTCTTTCTTATCTTATCACAAATACTCAGTATTTAATGAATCGAAAGTAAATAGACTCTTCAGTCTATATCCACACACCACGCACTGGTTTTATGGTGACAATAGGAATATATATGGGACGTCCCAATGGAAGTTTTGTCTACAAATATCTACCATTTTCCACTGGCTTTATAAGTAATATAAACGTCTAAAGAACATTAATTTAAAGCCTAAAAAAGCTATGCTGGCCAGGTTCTTAAAACACAAGATATACAACTTCTGAGATACTTATTTTCATATCTTCTACTTTATCATCATTAATGGGCTGTGAATACTTCTGCATTCGAATTCCGAATCTGAATTTCAGATATGATAGTTGTGGGATCGGATTGTGATTAGGTAAAAGAAATGAGTATCACCGCATCCTGTGCAATACAATCCCATCTGAGGTGTAATCAAGATCTTAAGTCGGATCTAGATAATAGGTGTTTGTTTTCGTGATGTCGGTTTATTTTAGGACTAAAACTAGCGTCTTATGGAGATTATCTGAACGGCGGCGGTGTGATCGCGACAAAAGTGGCTGGCACAGGCCGATACGTTCGCACATGGAGTCACCTTGTAGCCATTGTCACCTGGAGGAATATATGCATATTTATGCGGGCATTCTTTTTGCGGAGATATGACAACTCACCCAGCTGGGTCATGAACTTGTGCAGCGTGTCCACGTTTCGCACCGTGTTGGCCAGCAGGGTTTCCAGCCCACTTCCTCGCCTGGTGTACAAGTAGTCCATGGCACCCAGCAGTGCATCGAATTGGGAATCATCGTAGATCACATCGGAGGCCATCAGAAGATCCGTTTCAGCATGCGACTCCCAGGGGAACTTGCTGACCGCATCCCAGCTTAGCTGCACCGCCTTGGGCATCTGCTCCTTGGGCGTGTCTGGGAAATTGAGGCTGATATTATCTCGCATCAGCTGGACGCACGGTTCACTGCCATCGGTCAGCAGGACCTGGCCCACGTGCAGCTGCAGGGCCGGTAGTTTCAGCAGGATTCCCAGAAGCCCGGCACCGGCTCCCAGCTCCACTATGTTCTTGCCACGCACCAGGTCGCGGTGCTGTAGGAAGTAATCGCCGAGGGCCAGAGCCGCTTCCCAGGTGCACAATCCCGTTGTGCCCTCGGCCACACAGCTGGTGGACTCGCGGAGCGTTATGTGGGCGCCCGGTTCGAGGAGATAGTGCTTGTAGGCGTACATGGATGGTCCTGTGCTCGCTATGTTGTCCGCCACCGGACCGCACAAGCTGCTGTATATGTCGTCGTGCACATCCTCCTGATCGCGGAGCAGGTGGATCAGCTGCTTGAGGAAGGCCTCCAGGTAGCTGCGACGCACTGGATATCGACGGTTCATTGGGTGGCCACAGGTGGCCGCTATCAGCTCCTGCTGATCCTCCCAGTTGAGTGGCAACTTGACCGACTGCAATGGACACCAAACCGATTGGTATGAAACATGTGGACGGCGCAAACATATGTATATACTCACCGACCAGGCCATCTTGTACACCGGATAGCAGCAGAGGAACTGCTGCTGCAGCTTGCCGTACTTCCCGGACATTTTTTCGGCCGCTCCAAGTTCCGATTTCCTCCGCTATTTCGATATGAAAACCCACTCCCAAGCGAACAAAAGTAGCAACGTGAATCGCACCCGGCACTTGGACCAGTGTGACCAAATATTTACCCTCTGTCGGGTTGAGGAATGTCGGGAAATCAAAAGGGGTACTCACAACTTTGGGGAGTAGCTAAAAATGTACCTAATCTCAAAAGAAATACAGCATACGGGGTTGAAAATATTGATACGGCAAACTAAATGCTCGATAGTAAATACTTTAGGCTTCATAACACAAAAATACAATTTAGTATAAAATATATCACTGGGGCAGTCCACTTAAATGGGAAATGGGAAAAAACCCGCTATCTTAGCGGGAAAACAGCTATTTCATACTACTTTTTCATAACTTCTTGGCAACAGGTGCTATATATCGTTGAAAAGGCATCAACATACCATGTTTAGATAAAAAACCCATTTTTTAAGTCAAGAATAGTTCGTATAGAACACTATTTCGTCCATAGGGATCATGAGTTATGAGTTATTATGGTTATGAGCTTATGGCATAGCTGGGTAGCTCAAATTCAAATTAGCAAATTAAAGTATTAATTTAGCCAAAGATTGCCCCCAAATATGTCCAATATATCAAATGGGATTGTGTGTATAGATAAGGCTTGCAATATTGCTGCCCACTTTTGGGCTCCGCAGCATATACTAGGTGTGTAGATAAACCACATTCTAAGCGAAATTTTGGATGCAAAGTTTGGAGCGTTTGGAGCACCCAGTAGTTTTTAGATAGATGGGTGGGTGGTCGAAACTACTGCCCCATTTCGAACCCGGACAGAGCTGTTAGCCAAAAGCTGTGGGCACTGCTATTACGTGGACGTAGTGCCGATCGATTCGCGTCAGTCGATCCGATCTTCCCATCGGCACTTTCTCGGCTCATGCTCATAGCAATTGAGTTCTGTTGAGATTCGATTTAGTTCCATTCCGCAGCTGACGGCGATGGAAGTACCGCGATTACGTCGAACCCTCGTAAAATGAGATTTTAGCTGGGTTTTCGACTCAGTTTCGGTTTTGGTTTCGGGATCACTTCGCAATCGAGCTATCTAGCATCGCGGAAAGCGTTTGGCGTTTGGGAATAGAGCATCACCATAAAGCAGCCGTTGTGTTCCAAGGATTGGCAGAGGCAGACCTTGACCCCCGTGGCACCCACCAATGCTACAACCTTGAACTTCAGTCGTAGTCCATATTGTGCCTCTCAATTAGATGCAAGCCATTCAGTCATTCGGTTAGTCGGTTGGTCGGTTGGTCGGTTGGTCGGCGAGTGAGTGCATCTCGTGGTGCATAAAAATAAACAGCATCAGCATCTGAATCGGAATCGGCAGCAGCACCAAAAATAAAAGCCATAAACTACTGGCGCAGGAAGCGCTGTGCTGCCAATTGGCGGGCTTGCCAAGGAGATACTATACACCACGCTACGCGGATTCCACTGGGAATACCAAAAACAATACGATATACCACGTACGGAGCACAGGTAAGTGGGCGGAATCCATCGGTTTGGAAGCGGGATGGGGCTTGAATGGGATCGGATGGGATATGGTGGGTGCGACACGTTCCCATCACACTCCTCGCACGCGTTCATCCTACGTATTTGTTTTTGCCCTGCTATCAGCAATATGTTGAAAACACCTGATTGGTTTCCAGTAAATGTTAGTAATTTCTTTGAATAAAAAATAAACTGTATTATCAGCTTCTTCCATTTATATTATAGATCTATAGACCCTACTTTTTCTATAAATAAAGTACATTAGACATATATCTATGGTGTAAATTACTCTTATTTGCAAGCATAAGAAATTCTCTAAATTTCATGTGCAAATCAAAGATTTCAATTGGGAAACTCCGTCCAAAAACGTAGCTTACAAAGAATTTTCGTTCTAAGTCCTTTCCAATTTGATTGAAGTACAGAACTCTACGAATTAAGTTTCAATGCTGTGCCAAAACTAGTCGAAGGCTGGAAGGTGTCAATACCCTCTCAAATCATTGGCTATCTGAGGGCACAGTTGGTAGCCAAATATGTGGCTTCCACTTCAAAACCACATGTAACCACGCTCTCCATCGCAATCTTATCACCTTATCAATGGATCCATAGTCACTGGGCTTTGCTTATCTCGATTTGAGTCTGGGCCTGAACCGATTGTTTTCCATCGACTTCAGTTCATAAAGTGCTTAGCTGCTCCGGATTTATTGGCAATAGCTACCTAAACGTTTATCCAAAACAGTATATATAGTATAAGGGTTATACTTTGTTATAATGTTACGAAAGTTAGAAAGAAAGTTTCCCAAAGTAAAAAACAACTATTTCATATATTTGGCAATGGAATTAAAGTTTAGTGAAACAACACGAAAATGGAAAACATGCTGTAATAGTTGAAATAGTTTTTTGTTTATCCGTGACTTGGTTATGGCAAATTGTCAAATGAGTTACGAACGACGTGCAAATGTCATATTTCTGTAATGTAAGTCAAGCATTTGTAGGGCAGCTGTGCTATAATTACCGAAAGTTCATAAACTATATAGAATTATATTATATTTAGGCTGTAAAAACGGGTAGGTTCAGTCGCCCAATTATGCACTGATATTACGTGCTATGATTCTTGATAGTGAATTGAATAGTTTGCATGCTAATTGAATCAATTGAAGCGATTCTCGCAAGACAATTTCCACTGAAATATTTTATTCTTAGGATACACGCAATTCAAATCGTCCTTCGGTTTCGTTAGTTTTGGAAAACTCTGTCAAGCGAACTGGTTGTACTAAACTTAGTCGCTATCAAGTCAAATCTTCCCTCGATTGTCTGCAAGCCACTTGTGGTTAGTTTTGCAGAGCTTAATCATCGAACTGGTGGATTATGACCTCAGTCGCTATCAGTGGCGTTATTATCACACTTGCACCTCGTAAAACTACATTATTGGTCAATTATAGCGTAAGAACTGAGCACTACTTTTCTAAGTAACTAGTGAACTACCCACAAAATCTTTGGTTAGTTTCTCCCGCCATTTGAGCTGTTTCATTACTCCAGCTTCGATTCAGCCCACTGAATTCCATTTCCCATTTCACCACAAGTTATGTGGTTTGCACCAAATCCGCACTTAATCGAAAGCACCTAGAAACTGAAATTGGATGGAATCCCGAGACAAAGCTTGCCATTGATGCCATCGAACTACTGATAAGTGGACATCTTGCGGACCATTGACCTTGGGCAGTGGAATCGCTACATTCAATCAGCACACAAAAAATGCTCTAAAGACTTTCTTAATTTTCAAATAAATTCGTGTGCTTGATGGATTAGCCATTAATCTCCTGTCTTAACAGTTCGAAATTACAATTATAACATTTGGTATTTTATGACGTAACTTGTATCTTTTAACCGTAAGTATTACCTGAAAGAAGATGCATATTTGAACAATTTTACATTTCTCATGAGACCAACACCATATTTAGTGCCATCATTCTGTGTGCATAGAGGACATAAACATGATTCACAATTTGCGCGCTTACTTGGGCTTGGGTCTCTGGGTGGAAATCTGTCACATGACGCCGCTGATAAGGAAAGCTGCTGGTGGAGAGGGAGAGAAGTCGCTGGAAAGCCGGAGATTTCAAATGCTAGATTTGGGAATCCGGTGTCTTAGTACCCAATCGTGAGGCCGTGTTCTGGTCAGATGGCAACAATACTAAGGACTGTGGAGGCATCTTTGTGCGGTTAATTGTGACAAGTGATCGTTAACGTATTGCGCCAAGTAATTGCCGTAAATCATTTACGAACGCGGCCAGCTGCATTCAATGCAATTTTCCCCATATCACTTCCCTATTCCGACTGGTTTTCAGGGTTACGGGCATGCATTTTCATACAATATAGCTCAATATATCGTTACAGTTGGCCATGGAGAAGAAGGTCTACCAGGACACAACCCGACCGCTGCCCAGGGTCTCCCGTGCACGGTATTATAACAAGCACGACAAGAGTGATCTGGGCGACGACTTTGTGGCGCCCGACGCGGGATGGGCGTGGCTCGTTTGCGTCGCCGCTGGCGTTTCCAATGTAGGTAAAACCAAGCCAATTTAATATTTCCAAGTGCAATATATTGTGATAATAATTAGGTATTCAAAGCAGAAGATCAACATAAACATATAGTTATTGTTTCCTATTGAAACCCTCCAAATTGGAAGAGCTCTAATAGATTTCCTTTTCAGCTATCCATTTACCCCTGCCTGCAACAGTTTGGCTTCCTGTTCAGGGAGCGGCTGTCCGATCTGGGCATGTCCAGTTCCCAGATTACAGCCATCATCAACACAAATCCGGCCGTATCGGCCTGCACGGGTCTGCTCAATGGACCGATGTTCCGGAGGTTTACCTTTCGGCAGGTGGCCATGGCCGGTTCTCTGCTGATCTCCGGGAGCCTCATACTGACCGCCTTCTGTGAAACCTTTGTGAGCTACATGGTGGCCTACGCCCTGCTGTTTGGTAAGCACAAAGGCATCTCTATCCTTTGGCATTATAGTTTACTGAATTATTAAATACCATTCCATTCTAAATGAACTTTTCTTAAATCCACAGGCTTTGGCATGGGCATAAGTGTGTCGGCATCATCGCTGGCGATCAACACGTACTTCCAGAAGAAGCGCCGTCGGGCGGCTGGGTTTTCGTGGACCATAACGGGTCTGGGACCGATCTTCCTGCCGCACCTGGTCACCTTTTTGCTGACCATCTACGGGGTGCAGGGGACCACGCTGCTCTTCGCCGCCATCTCGCTGCACTCGTTCGTTTGTGCCCTGATCTATCAGCCGGTTCGGTACCATGTGAAGCCGCCGGAGGAGCAGCTGGCAGACCAGGAGCAGCAGGCGGAGTCGCTGTGTGCCCATTGCACGTGGCAGCAGAAACGCGAGCCGGGCGGCATATTCTCCAGTCAGTATCTGTGCCAGGACGACGATGCCCAGCGACCGGGCTACGAGATCTGTGAGCCCGGCACTCCGATGCTCTCGCGCGCCAACGATGGCTGGTATGGATCCCGGCTATCGTTGACCTCGGGCCGCCTTCGCTTCCGCACCATCTCGAGCTCCA